CTGATTTGTTAAATTTTCAATGGCCTTATGGCCCTGAACCCAAGCCTGAATCAAATGTACTTGAAATTCTTCATGTCAAGCAACCCCACTTGCATTCCTAACTACTAATGATCTACAAAACCAAACTACAAATTTACAACTAAAGCTTAGTTGCTTCAGAAGATTACATTGTGCAATCATGCTCAGGGTATTATCACCTTGTTGCATGTTAGCCTGCTTTCCCAGCTCCAGCTTTTCTATCCTATCTATCAATATTTGTTTCTCTCTTTGAGTTTTGTTAAGCTCCTCCATTGCCATAAGACGTTGCTTGTTCAAGTACAGAATATCTGCAAATTGACAATAAATATTTAAGGAATAGAATAAAGAACATTCATGTGCACAGAAAATGGATGTAACTAAAGCACGTTAAGTATTAGATGTAAACTAGATACACAAATGGCCACCAAAAAGGACTTACTTCGCTGAGCATCTTTGAAAAGTTTCCAAATATCACTGTTCTTCATTTCTAATTCTCTATCAGGTGGCTGAAATGATTCCTGAAATCCAATTGAAATTTACCAAGTGAAATTAGAAATATGGATAGAAGGTAAGAAACAGATCAAATTCAAGAGAGCATACATACTTGAAACATCTCTGTGTCATTATGGTTCTCCAACCTAGAATGCACATACAAAAATATATCTGGTCACTAAGCACTGACAAAGAGGAAACTGTACAACAATAAAAAAATACCTACTCCATCTGTGAAGGTCCTGAAATTAAGCCATTGGAATTTTCATTCTTCCTGGAAAACAAGACCAAGCTGTTAAAGATGTACTCAAAAATTTAATGGATAAAGAATATTCTTTTTTTGGGCAATATGATGCAGCGGAAAGAGAAGTATCAAGATTTCAGCAATATCAATAAATGAAAATCATAATTTGCACATGAGGAAATTGTACAAATAAGACTCCACAAAATGGTAAACGGATAGAAGAATTAGTCACTACTCGCTAGTTAGAATCAAACTTGAATTGTCTGAAAAAATAATAAGATGACACAAATATTTGACATATCCTTTTGTATGGGTTTGTTCAATTTTTGGTGGGTGCATTTTTTATTAAAAGCACTTACTCTTAAGTTCATTCTTTGTATTAAAAGAAACAAGTTCTTTTAAAAAAAATATAGTAGTTAACATAAAAATAAAACAAAAAACATCAAAAGCATGTCTTCCAGAAGTATTGTAAGTTTTCTTCCTAATAAAATCACAAGGTGTCAAGTATTCATGCTCTCAGGATGAATATGGGAGCCTCCCAATAAAATCACTGGTATGCAAAGATAGGAATATATGGAATCCGGATCCCAGAGATATCTTATCAGTCAGGTCTTGTTTTGTGGCCTTTTCCCAGTAGGGGCACTGATCCTCTTCCATCATGCTGGATATGGTCTACTCACATACCTTCCAGAGTTTCATTCTTCCTGTGCACAGCTCACCCTGGGAAGATTGTCACTATTGATAATTTTGTCTTTACTCTTTAGGCAGAGTAACTTACATAATGCAGATTTAGATCTCCATTACATAAAACTCCATGAACATCATTTGGTAATCCGTGGTGGAGAACAACAAATTGAGAGGCAGATTTACTTTTAGACATCCATTGTAAAGAATTTCTTGGATTTCAACATTAAGCACTTAAGTAATTATTGCCACACAATCATCTGCCACTAAAGCTTTAACTCAGTCATGTATCAAATGACCTAATTGCCTTCTCAACTTTCTTTATGGAGGAGAATATCTAGTTGTTCAATAAAGACAATTAGYAATAATTACTTCCAAATGTCAAAAAATCAGCATTACAAGAATTTGTATGCCATTGACGTCTTCAGGCTTTGTGTATATCAGCTGTGGAATATGTGCCGTGCCAAGGTTCTGCGGGAGAAGCATCTGAAGAGAGTCCAAAACACAAGCATTACTACTTTCAGATGTTCTTACCATTTTCATGTCCCTGTGTATCTGAAAGGTTGAGTCCTTGTCCATCAAGGTTTAGGCAACACCAGGAACATGGTCCCTATAACGCAGCTGATGGTTTTCTTTAATTGCGAGGAGTTCTTACCCACTACACCATTTTACCAAGTCCTTTGCCAATGCAAACATGATTCGAATTTTTACATAATAGTGAAGTTCTGAAAGCTTACAATCTGGGCATTTAACTCCACTGTTAGAGCTTGCAAGTACAGTAAAATGATCAACCGCCTCACTCACTCCCTCCTCCCCTTGATTAATATCATAAACTACAAGCTTACCATACTTAGTGCACTTCGTACGACTCAATAATGGACGATCGAATCACAATATCTATACCAAATTGTAGCAAAGCAACCAGATCCTGACACCTCTAATGTTAAAATTTTCATTCACGTGCAACGCAGTTCAACGGATGTAAATACAGATAGCGGCTTTTACAACTAAGACCCGGGGGGGACGGAGATTCCGTTCGTGGAGCTTTACCTCAAACAACGAACTTCACACGATTTAATGGGCTGCATCTTTGCAGTGCGGAACTGAAGGGAACGAAGAGATGAAACTGAGACACCGGCACTTACAAGAGTCCCCATTAACACACACACTTGCTAAAGAAGAAGAAGAAGGCGGCTTCCCTTCAATCTGCTTCTATGCTGCCAAGCTCGATGATTTTTAAAGCAGGAGTGACTGAGACTTCCTGAGGAAGACAGTCTTGATGGTCGTCCCTAGGTTAAAACAGTGGGATCGGAAGTCGGAACCTTTAAGGCATTCATTGTACTTCCCTCCCCTTTTTCCCTTCTTCTGGACTTGTGACCGTCCCTTTAGGTAAATCGTGAGCTTCAATGGATTTACTCGGACACGAAGCAATCAAACAACACGGAAGGAGACAGCTGCTCACTCTCGTCAGTCGCCACCGTGCGACACCGAGAAAGTTCAATCTCTTTTGGTTACACGTTACACGTTATGCTCTATTCTATTGCTCTTCTAATCTCGAGGTACAACTTACCAGAGCAATGAGTGCAACCTCCAGAGAAGATAGGTAAATTTCTTAAACTACCCTTATAATCAAGCGAATTAATTAAGTGTATCTTACTTACTATTTGAAAATTGTCTTTACAAACGCTATTCGATAATTCAGTAGTCTTAAACGGTTGAAATATTCATTTTATCTTTTAACTCAAACTTAAGGATGCGTTTGGAAGAAGTGTAAAACGTCCTCAATGTAAAAATACATTGATGAAGTTGCATTTTGAAAATTAATGTAAAAAAATGTAAAGTTTTACAATCGCTTTTATATATATTATCAACGTAAAATTATACTCCATCCAAATGCACACAAAATTGAACCGGAGTATAATTTAACATCGATAATAATTATACTCTTCTACCAAACACATACAAAAACGAACTGACGTAAATTTTACATCGATTCTTGATTTACATCGCATCCAAATGCAGCATAAGATTCAAAGTTAAATTAATTTTTTGTCCCTTGTTTTAATACATATGTGTGGGTTCACTCAATTGAACAAAACGCTACATATGTGCGGGTTCACTCAATTGAACAAAACACCCAAAAAGTAGAGATTGAGCATTATCATCGTCGCAGGCGATGGCAGCCATTGCAACTTCCTAGCGGCAAAGCTTTGGCTAGAAATAGTATTTTTTTGTACATTTTTTTTTTTATTTAAGCTCATGGTGACCTTAGCCAAGAAGATATCATCAACCAACAACTATCAAAGTCAAATCCGGTGACTTCTCCTAGTCAGAGTAATGAAAAACGATCTCTCGAGAAATCTTTCCAGACTCAATCGTTGAAGCCAAATCCGACAAAATACTATTCAAAGATCTCCCAATCTTTTCTATCTTCAATTAGATCAAGCTCCATATTTCAGTTCGAAGGTCATTGAACGATCCGCCATCAGATTAGGCTCCCATTTTTTCACCCATATCAGATCAGGCTCCAGATTTCAGTTCAAGCACCATCTTTGCGTAGATGGTCATGGAGGTGGTGGTGGTGTTTCCGGTCGAGGCTCCCTTCATGCACAGGTGGAGCTCTGTCTTTGCTCGAGGTTTTTCCACCTGCCTTCGTTGGAGAGCAAGGTGAGCTGAAGCAGGACAACCTCCATGTGCAGGCGGGGAGCCCATCGATGTAAAATTTCATTCCCGGATCATATTTGCCGATGTTTTAATGGATTGTAATTCTACATCTTAAATCAATTTAAAATTCCACTCACAGTAGAGTTTTGTATTGATAATTGGTGTAAATACAACATTGATAAAATCAATGTAATATTTACATCGATAATAACAATTTTCAAGGTACAACGGTTCACAACTTTTTAAACTCATTATAGTTGAACTCAAGATTTTAAAAGTCAGAGGTGTAGTTGAGGTGTAACTGCCCAATAAATGTGAGGCATAAGCCTCAAGGAGTTGCAAGGTGTAAGCCTCAAAAGTTTAAGGAAAAAAATTGAAGTTGCATGGTGTAAGCCTCGACGTTTAAGAAAAAAAATAATTAAAGTTTATAAATTGATGAAAATAATATATAATATGTCAAATTAAAATGATAGAAAGTACACATATCTATAAACTAGAGGTTTATAAGCAATATGTTTTGGCATTTATGCATTAAATAAAATAATAACTAATCAATTAACAATTATAAACATTTTACATTTCATGTAAAAAACCAATTTAAAAGAAATGAAAAAAAACTCAATTGATTTGATCTATGATAACAATAATACTAATATTGATTAGTTGATAATAATAATAATAATAATAATGATGCTAATAATAACCCATTAGTAGAAGAAATGAGAAAAATAACAAACTTGGGACATTACATTTAGAATAATAAGAAAAAATCTCATTTGATTTATCCAAAAGAAATTAATAACTTGATCAATCCTTTTGGCATTGAACTCTCTTAAAACACCAAGGAAAACTAATAGAATTTGATTTGACTTATTGATTTTTCTATTTTTTTTATTTGGCCTATAATTATTGAAGTGGTTTTTATATATGATTTAAATTATAAAAATATGTATATGTATATATACCTTTTTACACCTCAGGCCTTTAGGTTTGATGTTTATGCCTCATTCTAGCAAAGTCTTTAACCTCACATTAAAGTTGTGAAGCTTAAGGCTTTAAGCAAAATCTATGCACCTAACCTCAAGGTGTACGCTTCACGCCCCAAGGCTTAAGCCTTTTAAAACAATGGTTGACCTCCATCGATAGAGTCTTGCACCACAAACAAACGCAGCCTAAAAATAGTTACTATAAAAAAAAGGTAATATCATGTTTCATAAATAATAGTCCATTTTATAGGACACGAGCTAAGTCTTGTAATCCTTTATTAGGTACTACAAAAGAGATGTAATCTACGCTTTTGAATGAAAATTTTCCCTTAAAAAAAAGACACTACAACATTTGTATCTATATTAAAACCCATAATTTTAATGGTTATTGTATCGAAAAAAAAAAACTGGTTTTCTTGCATTTCAAAACAAAAACAAAAACATGATTCAATAATATGTTTATTATTTTTTTTTCACGTTGTGAAAATTACTTTTGTAGGGTAAATATCTTAAATTATCTACACTGTTCACGAAATTGACAAATTATACCCTTATTGTTTACTTATTTATCCTTAAATTTTCTGACAATTATCATTATAGTTTAATTGTCCTTGTTTACTTTTTCCTCGTAACTTCATGGATTGGGTAATTGGAATTGACGAGGATATACATTTGTTCAACGTAGGTGCAGCTTACTTTTGAAGAGCCTGGAACCGGTGTTACCATTATTAAGCTAACTGGACGTACCAGAGGAGGATATGTTGGGTTGCTGCGGTTCTTTCTAATCTGATATTTATATTCTTCTGGTTTTGGGGCATTTTTAATTGTTTTTCTTTTCTGATTATTATCGTTTGCAAGTTGTGATGCAGATATGGCAATGCTACAGTTGTTGAAAACACCAAGAGGGGCTGGCGGGAGCTCATCTTCTACAAGATACGAGCAGTTTTTGGTTTCAGACTTTGAAACTTTATCACATAAATAGGTTGTTTCAGTAGAAAATTTCACAACCATTTATCTTGTTTCAAGCCTTTCCATGATTTTAACATAAAGGTTGTATGGGTAGTGGAGTCATTGATTTGGTGGTTCATGTTCGTTGAAAGCTTCAATGCCCCTTTAATCTGAACAAAAAAAGAAGAATAGTAAGAATAGTAGAGAGAGAGATGGGAGAGCAGAACAGGGCCGACTGAAAATTTTGAAGGCATGTAATCTCTTTCCCTGTCAAGTAGATCGCCCAGATCCCCGGCTAGTCATCGCCACCACTTGGTTCGCTGTCATATCTCTCTGCCAAGACAAATACGACACCACCCCGCCGACCTTGGTTTCTCCTGCAACTCCCCTGCCTGCTCCGCCGTCCACTCTTATCTCCTGTCTTCCGACATCTGTGCCTGTCTCATGCAACTCCCCTGTCCGCTCCACCGTCCACTCTTTTCTCCCATCTTCCAACATTTGCACTCGTGTCTCCTGCAACTCCCCTGCTTGCTCCACTGCCCACTCTTCTCTCCCGTCTAAACCACTGAAGCTTCTGATTGCTCCTCCTTCCCTTGCCTCTTTTTTTTTTCTGTTGAATTGGTCCCAAATGGTCAAAAATATTCATTGGATTTGATTGGACCTGATCCATTTGTAATGGACTTACATGGGACTGAAATTCCAATAAAATACTTAATTAAAAATATAAAATCCTCATTATATTTGACGAGAATGAAATCCTGAAATAGAATTGTGTTGTGCACATAGAATCTAAATTCGTTTCCATGACCTTAACTGAAAGTAAAGCATTATGAAATGTTAAATGCGGCTGCATTTGTTTCTATAATTCTCCGTAGGAAGTGGAGATAAAAATAAGCCAAATACGTGTCAGAGATAACTTTTCTGTCTTCATCTTTTGTTTGTCCATGACTTGCAAACACATAATTCTATGACCCCCAATTGAAAAGGTAATAATCGTACCACTAAATGAAAACGGTCATTATTAACCAAAACATGAATGCCATGCATATCAATTACTACAATTGAGGAGAAAAGGAAAAAAGGGATGGGACAGATAAGTTATCGAAAGGAGACCATCCTACAAAATAGAAGAAACAGAAGAAAAGCATCCAAGACATGGGGTGGCCATGGTCATTGCCGGCTAAAGCTTGCGCTTTTTTAATTTTCTCAACCTTTCCCTTCTTTCTTCTTCTTCAATGAGGCGAAGCTCTCTTTCATCCTCCTCCTTTGCAATTCTTGCACTGTCAAAACCAAGAACATTCGGTAAGTACCTTGAGTGTAAAACAACATCAAGGCTTATGAAGTGATTATATCAACATGATGATAGCCACATAATGATGCAAAGGATGACTGATACCCCGCCATTTAGCAAGACTAACAGAAGAGTAGGCATGAAGGCTTCAACAAGTTGTAATACATACCTTTTTCTCTCCTCCCTTTGTATATCATCGAAATTAGCTTCCATGTCACTGTCATCCTCATCTCTGCCAGCATACTTATTGGGGTTATACCTGCAAAAGATTTTACTCCAGTTACACCATGAAGCAAGCAACAAAAAATTCCAGATTCTTGATCCTATATGGACACAAATGAAGTATACTTTTTTTTCTATGTTCATTAATTTTAAATTTCGTTATTTCCTTTGTGGTGGTTTAATTATTTAGATCTAATTACGTTTATAAGCTTTTGTTATAAATTTTGCTATTGATTTTAAGTTTAGCACTCTACTAAGTTTTGGCAGGGGGCATAGTTGTAAAATCGGTTCATCATATATCCTTTTCTGGATAATCCTTCTTGTAGTCACTTGAGGGAGTGACTAGTCTAGATTGTTCATCATACCCAAACTTTGAACTGGCTATGCATTCAGTGTATCATGCACGATTTTTGCTTTCACAATAGCATAAACTGTTTATAATGCCTTTTCTTTTCAGAGGTCAATATTAAAAAAAGAAAAGTAATAATGAAAACAATGGGATTTCTAGGGAGGCTTAAGCTGTCAGGTATGATTCTAGGGCCAACTAAAAAATCCATCCTGCATGCACACGACACAACATTGAAACTGCTTCTAATTATGTCTGGCACTTAGTAGTTTAAGACAGAGGGTGGGCATTGGTGCAAAGGTTGCCAATTGGGTTGCTCCATTGCAACCTGGGTGACCAGGGTTCAAATCTTGGAAACAGCCTCCCTGTTTGTGCAGGTGTAAGGCTGTGTGCATCTGTCCCTCCCCAGCCCCTGCATTGCCAGGAGCCTCATGCACTGGGCTGCCCTTTTTTTACTTAGTAGTTTAAGACGGTTGAATGATGCAATTATTACTCCACTTGAGAATAGACTTATTGCACCATTCTTAAATACCAGCGGTTTCTGGAAAATAGCATGCCAAACAACAAACAGCTCATGAAAATAAAATAAAATAAACAAAATAAAAGTCTGCATGTTAGCTATTATATTGCTACATCCCCATTCATAATAGCGATATAGCAGCATTTAAACAACCCCGAGCAGATTGTTGGATTACAACTTGATTTAACCTCACAAATGTACACATTGGCAGAAAAGAAACACAAGAGAACCTTACCCAAACATTTTTCTAATCATGCTGATAGCCTGAACACCCTCGTCATCATCATCTTCATCAGAATACCGTTTCACAGGCTTCCTTTTTGGGCAATGCTCTCCCATGGTTGCATGCCTTGGAATTTGGTTTGGGGGCTTAATCTGCACAGTTCCACAGAACAAGCAAATGTCAAGCATCTTTCAGCAAGAAATAAAAAAATCATCCTTTACCATGGCAATGAAGCTATCAGAGCACACACACACACAGGGAGGGACAGAGGGAAGGAGAGAGATGTAAACCTGGGGTTTTGAAGAAGAAACTGGCTGTTTTGATATCACTTTGGCCTTATCAGGTTGATAAAAATCCCTTTTCTGTTCTGAATGTTGCTTTTGCACAGATGAATTCAACTTCAATGATGGTACTTTCTGCACACCAGGCAAGGAACTTTTTGCCCCTACTACAGATGGTTTCTTGTATGCAGCAGGAACTGGAATTTTGGAGGACAAGCCCTTTGACCCAACTGGCCGGCCAGGTCCACTCTCAGAGTTGCTACCAAGCTGTCTTTTAGGATCAGCAGAAATCGACTTTGGCCTATTAGTAGGAGCCACCTTCTGGAGCCCTACTTTAGGGGGCATTTTGTGATTCACAGAAACATGTTTTCTTTCTTCATGGCCATTGGAAACTGGCCTGCTAGGCTTGTTCATTGACTGTTTGCTCTTCAATGGCACTTGAGCTGATCGGGCATCTTCAATATCAGCAAAAACCTGTATAAGTTTCTCCAATAAAATACTACTTGATGGCCTACAAGAACAACTAGATATGATTCATCAGAATATGATCTCACCAGAACTTGGGACAGAAACATTTCGTGGTGGATGCTCTTTTGCGGGAGAAGGGAGTTCTGCATCATCGGAAAACAGAAAAGAATAGTTCCGTGTATCCTTGAGCTTCTGCACTTTTCTTTGTAACTACAAGATAGGTGATCATAGGTTACAACATATTACAGGTATTTTAAGGTTCCTGAACAACTTATTAAAAATAAATAAACTATAACATATTTTACCTCATTAATAATTTTTGGTGGTTTATCATGTACAGAAGGCTTTGTTCCTGATGTGATTGAAGCAGAGCCTTTTTTGTTCTGGAGAGGAAAATTGAGATTATCAACTGGAAAACACAAAACATATGGGAAATAATGATGACACTTGAAAAAGAATCTTCAAACCCCCCCGCTGCCAGGACCTAACTGCATTACAGCACACATGGTTCATACAAGTGGTAATGGTGGTCCCATGAGAAGAACTTCTATGCTACATTGTGCAATCAGAAGACTCTAGCTCCAAACTACTGAATGAATCATCTCCTTTCCTGGAGTTCCTATTACAATTGGCCATGCAAATTGTAAGGAACATTCAGTGGGAAAGATGTCTTAGCTGGACCCACCACATGTAGGATCCCTACCTACATACATGTGCATGTATAAGGGGGAGATTGTAAAAGGATTAAAATATGCAGCACCATCTAAAGAGAAAGATCCATGGTACATACGGTATGATGGGAACTTGAAATCCTTGATACCAAATGCCGGGTTTCTAGTATTGATTTGCTCTCTTCCAGTACTCTTTGAGCAATAACAGGCTTAGAAGGGCCAAAGAATGATCCATAACTGCAAGCAAGAAATACTATAAATGAGGAATGGCAAACTCTAGGAGTTAAAGATTAAAAAAAAAAAAAAAAACATGTAGCCAACTACAGAATCTCTTCAAACGGATAAAAGGAATTTAAATATTGATTACTGACCATTACAGAAAATCCCAAATCAATTATTTGGTATTTTTTTGTTGGTAACAGATCAAACAAGATTTTATTACATGAAGAGAGAACAATAAACGAGCTGGATATAGAATATCTAGCTCCAGACCATAAATATTACCACACACATATGAAAAGTTTCTTAAAAAAAAAAGTTATATAAATGACCTTAAAATTGTCTACCTCCCAAGGTAGATCCAAATACATATCCTCCCTTTTGAACCTTCCCTTTCAAATCAGATGCAGAGTTGATGGATCTTGGAATCCACCCAAACAAGGTATTCACACTGGATACCAAGATATTGCCTCTCTTATTGCATGTAAGTGTGTCCATGGTCCTGGTTAATGTCCGTCCTCCATCCAATTATATTAATTGCATGATTTATTTCAGTTCTACCAGAAATCTTGAAACAGTATTTAACAATAAAATCATGAATAGTGATGACAAACTGAGGCACATTAAACAATAGAATCCCCCAAAAAAAGTTAAAAGGCATTCTTCGAACGTTGCCATTCCTACCTAACAAGATTCTATATTAAGAAGTCACTTGATCACTAAATCCAACACCTACGCTTCGTTATCTCAGGCCTAGATTTGTATCCATTATATTCAATACTAACAAAGTGTGTGTAAGTACATGCAGTTCACTATCACCGGGACTATGGTGGGAATGTTAAAAGAAAAACGGAGAAATCCCAACCGGGACACCTTTGTAATGGCACAATGACACTTTATCAAAGTAATGTAAGGCCCACATACTTGTGATGAGCACAGAAGGCCATCCTACACTTGCGATGAGCATGAAGCGTCATCCAAGACCTGCGATGAACATAAAACACCTCCCTGGACATGCAATAAGCAATCAGCATCACTTGAGACTTGCGATGAGCATGAAATGGCAACTCTCGCCGTAATGAACGGAGGATAGACCCCGAGGCCAGCGACACCCGAGCACACCAGTCAGGTCTTTCCCTTAACACCTGTTCATAGGAAAACCCATAAGGGGACATAGCCTACATGCACCACACGAGAATCCTTAGGAAAAGGGAAACTTTATCCTTAAAGGATCTCGTTGAAGATCCCCTTTCCTAATAGGAAGGGTCTCCTTTTAGATCCTTCTTCTTATAGCATTGGGGTCCTCTCTATAAAAAGGGGAATAACTCTCCCCCGCGGGGACAAGAAGACCACATTGCCCTAACCCTAGGGTTTCTCAAGGAGATCTCTCCTGTCTCTCCTCTCTTCCCCTATCTTCCTCATCGTCTCTCCGGACCTTCGGGGACTTGACCAACTGTCAAGAGTCCATGGTGATTACAGTGTGCACAAAGCCCAGCTTGTGCCATTATCAAAATATAGATTGTTACATAACTTAATGCCATACAGTAAAACAATGACAAGTTGTTTTGCCCTTCATAAGAAATTTGATGATTAATCAGTTCCTAGGTTTGCTTACTAGTTTACCTAAAAAAATCCATTTTAAGAATTTAAGATATTGATGCAATCTCCATACACAAAGTTAAGATAAATTGCAAATATGCAATTAGAGAATGATATCGAACATTTAGTTTACTTCCTTCATTTACAATCATAAAATGTTGTGGATGGATAGGCTAACCGAGGGGCTGGAAAAGACCTAAAAAAATACAATAGTCTTCTTTTATTTTATACCTTGTTCCTATTATTATATACCATAACCCAACCAACATATTACAAATGCTTAAAACAAAACACATGCATTAACATGATAAAATCACATGTGATATTAAGTAATAAGAGATAAATAATGCTTCAAAATAAATTTGTGTTTGACTTGGTCAACAAGGTGTTGTTGGCCTACTTGATGATTAGTTGTTCTAACTGACCACATCACAGGTGATGGGTATTGACCAATTAGTTACCAATACAGTCAGCATGTTCATCAACTAGCTTCTTGATGAGTAGTTATGCTTTGATAACGATAACTGAATCTATCATCACAAGTTTCATAAAATGAAGTAAGTAAAATTCAGTCCTCTCACTAATAATCCACGAGATACAAAAACAAAGAGGAGAAAAGTACCGCTGATAGAAGCCAATATTATTAGAGAAATGGAGCACACATCATGTGGTTGATATTAATCTTAAGAAAACCAGTCAATTACTTAAAATGAAGTTATGTGGTATGGTTAAAGAAACACTCACTTGTCATATGGAAGCTTCTTTTTCTTTTCCTCCTGGGTCTTACTGGGAACAGCACCAGATTCCTTCTTATACTTCTTTCTAAGGGTTTCTTTTAGCTTTTGCCTTAACTGTAAGTATTGAAGCTCCTCTTTGGTAGGTTTTGGATCTTCCTCTTCTACTTCGTCTTCATACTCGTCTGCTTCTCCCTCTTGATCTTCCCCACCCTCTTCATATTCATCTAATTCTTCATCACGTTGATGGAGTTCCTGTGAAGGGTATAACAAAAATTGTAATGAAATAGTAAGGAGAGTAGAAAAATAAATCTGAACAATTGTGCCATCTAAAACGCAGGAAACTACTAGGCTTCAACAAAAATCAACAGACTGCTTACAGCTCTACTATAGCCCCGCATCTTTTTGCTAAATCCCGTTGAAGCTTCCTAGATTAAATCGCATAAGCAGTAACCACAAAAAAAGTGATGCCTGAAAATCCACATAAAAAAAAAAGATACATTACACATGCACTCAAAGGAGCAAATCATGCTTCAGTATTAACGATCAAATACAGAGAGCATAAAGTGAATACAATAATATTTAGCTCTATCTATAACTTCATTGTTATACTTCGGAAATAAGGAAAAAAAAAAACTACTATACTTTGTCGCCCTCATGGGGATTCCAAATATCAATACCATTCAAGACCAAAGGAGGAAATTAGCACCACATTGACGAAATTGTAAAATCCTTCAATAAAATTCAAGCGCTGATGGTCGCAGCAGAATTGCATTCTGATCTTCTTTATATTTTGATCCATGTACCTTAACACATGCATCCCTATTCATTCTTTCAAATTTCCATAAACATTGTCTTTTATTTAATTGACGACATACGGAATGAAGATAAACGGGGAAAAGGAAAATGATGAGAAAACCGTACAGAATTAATGAAATTATTGAAATCCCCATTCTTGAAAGGAAATCTAAAAATTCAATCCCTAATTTATTTATTTTTTAAGATAAAAAATACCCGAGCCATTGTCGCATCAACAATACCTACAAACCCTGAATCCTAACCCGTAATGATAATGAAATAAGAAAAAGTAGCAACCAAAACTCTGTGAAACCACGGAACAATAAAAAGACCTGATCTACATATAAAACATAAAGAAATTAACTAAACAGAAAAAAAAGGGAAATTGACTCTTTAAAAAAAGTATTGAAATTACCTGTAGAATCAACAAAAGTCGGATCAATTGCTCGCAATCTTCAACGGCGAATCCTCGATCGGGAGCCCAGCAAGAACCAGCGAAGCTCAAGGATCATACAGATAAAGTAGATCCAGACCCCGTGCCACAAATCGAATTCTGCAAATTGAAAAACCTATCAATAAAGAAGGTATCTCTTCGTCGATATGGCTGTAGCGGTTGACACACGAGGAAGACGAAGGAAGGGCCCAGAAACTGGTATGTAAGCAATTACTAACCAGCGCGGATGGCGTAACACTCCCTTGCAACTTCGCCGGGAATGCCACCCTAACGGGGATTAATCAGCGTAACAACAACGCGCGCAAAACCGAAACTCAGACGGCCAGAATCAAGATGACGCGTGGCATCCTGGCAGGCCCTGGCAGGCCTTTTAACAGCCGCCTACGACGAAATGACTGTTTTGTAAATTATTTAAAGGGAAAATTAAATTTTACTTTTGGGTACCTGAATTTTCAAACGTATCATTGCAATACTTAAACTTTTAAAAAGTGTCAAATTAGTGTTTGTGGTTAATTGACCGTCAATTATTTCTTGAAAATGTCAAAATTACCTTTCAAAATAAGATATTGTTCATTATCTACTATCTTGAGACTGAATCCGTTGAGATGTTTGAGATACTAGACTAATAAAATTATTGTCTTCTACCTTTAGATCTAAAATGCATTCTTGTCTTTTTTTTTTTTTTTTGCTTTCATTTATTGTTTCCCTCTATCATATTTCATGTTTTTTCTTTCTTTTTCTTTAAAGATAACCAATTCAATCTCAAGGTAGAAGATAATGAATAATGTCTTCTTTTGAATGATAGTTTTGACATTTTCGACAGATAACCGACGTCGATTAATGATAATGACCAATTTGACACTTTTTGAAAGTTTAGGTATTGCAATGACATATTTGAAAGTTCAGGTACTAACTTTACACTACCCCCAAAGTTCAGGATACTAAAGTGAAATTTTCCCTTATTTAAAGGATCCTCCGGTAGGAGTGGCAACGGTGCGGGGATCATATTCCCTATCCCCGTCTTTGATCCTTGACGGGGACGAGTTATCGATTTTTTTGTTAACAATTTAAAAATAAATAGATTTATTTAAAATAAGTACAAATTTTAAAATCTAAATATTGTTTTAAATGTGTTTTGATATGTATAAATAATGTCATATATAATAATATATATTTAATATAAATTAATATATATATATGGGGTTAGGGCGGGGCATTGACCTCATTCCCCATCCCGACCCCATCGGGTCAAGGAAGTATCTCACAATTAATTAAAGTATCCTATAGATAAGTGAGAGTGTCGACATTCAATTTCTACAAATTCTAATGTAAACATCATATAGATCCTTTGATCCACTTTTACATTTAAGCCCTGTTCATTTGTAGCTCCAGGAAATGCCAAATTTGGCATTGCTCCAAACTTATGATGTAAACATCAATCGGGCCCGTTCATTTCCTGTGTAACACTTATCTGTGTATGTTTACTTATTCATGTTTCTTTAATTCTTATGTAAGTGATATAATGACCTTTTTAACTATAACAAGTTAATGTTAAAAACGGCAAACTTATCTCATCATGTTTTATAAACTTTTTCTCTAAGTGGATAACTTTTCCACCTAGGATATGGATAAGTTTCATTGGGTAAATAAAGCTCTCTTTAATGTGGGGCTCAATACTTAATGCAAAAAGAACACTATAAAGTTTTTTTGCTTTAAATATCATTGTAAAGTTGGTCAATGGGAAATAGATGCCCATTGACCAACTTTTCCCCTCTTATTTAGGTAAATAAATGGGGTCATAGTGTTCAGGTCTCCTACTCACAAGAACCCCTACCCACACCTACGCACTAGACACTACATCCATAACCACACTTACCCACAAGACACTACATATTCCTTATTTGCATGTTACTATTATGACTGATTATCTATTTTGTGAGATTCATCGCATTTATTCCAACAATGAATCAGTTATATACAAATACCACATAATATAGGAGATGAGAACGATAAAAAACATTAAGGCCTCGTTCACATTTTGGGAAGTTATTTACTCGGGTAAGTGCATTTACCCATGCCTTTTTTTTTATTTCCTGCGTAAACAAAACAATGATTGTTTTAACCACAAAAAGCCATTATTAAAAGTGAAATTTGTGTTGCATCTAAGTGTTGGCAACTTCTCATTGGCCACATACCTAAGAAAATTGAGATGGATATCACTTGTTTGGAGAAAATAAAATTTCCATGGACCCATATGAGTCTAAAAAAAAACATGGGTATAATCCCATTGACCAATTTTTCCCCTCTCAATCCAAAAAATGAACGGGCCCTCGAGTTTTTTTCCTGGATGTAATTGCAACTTATCAATACATATCATCTACCATTATTGGGACTTTAATAATGTAACATATCATTGTCCACAGTCCCTCTCAAGCTTAGATATGACAAACAAGAATTAAGGCTTTTAGCCACATAAGGCTTAGTTTGGAAGAAATACAAATGCAAATATATAGAGTGCAAAACCTTGTATTTTGTATTATTTTCTATGTATTTGTACTGTACATATTTGCATTTGTACTCTTTTCAAACTGAGCATAAGTAACATTAACACTGTTTTCCATTTTCACCTAAACTTGTCAAATGTTAGATTAATGTTAGTATTGAAAAAGGGTAAGGGTAACTCATGTAGAATAGAAGAACAACAATGGAAAAACCCAAACATTAGCACAAAACCTATAAAAATGCAAATCTAAATTTAGGAAAACAATTTTCAAATAAGTAGTTCAATGTGTGGTTGGGAGTTCTATTAGTGTATTTGAGATCCTTAAAAAATACAATGGAAACCCATGTCAATTAATTTGTTCTTCAATATTTACGGGGGTGGAGCAAGGAAATTTTTATAAGTGGGCCAAAACCTAAATGAAATATGGATGGACCCATAGGGGGCCAATCATTGAGGTAGAGAGTGGGGGGAGGGGAAATTTTACATAGGAAGTGGAGATTTTCTAAACCATAGGGGGGGCATGGCTCCCCTGGGTCCCTTGGCTCCGCCCATGAATATTTACAAGGTTGAATAAAGGATAAACACATAGTCATCTAGTTGCATCTTCAAGACATTGAGAGAGAAAATAGAGGACAATGGTACTTGGTTCACCAGTTTAATGGCAATAGTTGAGGAATGGAGAGAGAGAGAGAGAGAGAGAGGAGGAGGAGGAGGAGGAGATTGCCCATTTGTTCCTTAGAGTGCACTAAGGTAAAAAGTGATGGAAGGAAGAAAAAAAAAGAAGGTAATAGCAGGAAAGAGAGAAACGAGATAAGGGTTGTTGCATCATTCCGTTGATTCCCATTGATTTTAAAATTTTAAGAATTAGAAGGCATGGCGAAATTTATTGGAGGATACATGTAAAATGTGGACCAAAGGGTCCATATGATGCAAGTTCCTTTTCCTCACTCCCATTCCATTGAATAGAGCAATGTTCCACTTTAAGTATTCTTGTATGCTATCTATATATCTATCTATACTACTTAGAAAAGTGTGAACGAGGAGGTATTGGCGTTTGGAAATTTTATTTTACGAAAATATCCCTCCTCTTGAATTTAGTTCATCTCCATTTAAAGGGCAGAAAATTTTATTAAAAGAATATCATTAAGTACATTCAATTACCTCTCATTAAGTCTAACATTTAAGTCATTATATAAATCACATTCTCTCTCATTGAATCCAACATTTATGCTTTTGTTTATCATCATTAAATTCCACTAATAAATCCATACACAATAATTACTAATATAATGAAATATTATATTTTTAAAATAAACATAGAAATTAAATCATATTTTTCATCTAGGTGGTGGGTAAGTAGTTAAACTATTTGGGTCAAATAGATAATTTCATGATGTCATAAATAAATAATACACATTTAGAAATATAAAAAAAATATTATTGTTTATCATTATTAAATTCCACTAAAAAATCCATACACAATATTTATTAATATAATGAAATTTGATATTTTTAAAATAAACCTAGAAATGAAATCATATTTTCCATCTAGGTCATGGGTAAGTACTTCAACCATCTGAGTCAAATTGATAATTTCATGATGTCATAAATAAATAACACAAATTTAGAAATATAAAAAATTCAAAAAATATAGAAAAGATTGGACATGTTTCTACTATTATATATTTGCCACATTAAAAAATAAGTATGATAAAATAGGCATACTTTTATTATTGATGGGCATCAAATATACAACTTAAAACTGATGGGGAATTAAACCATCTTCCTATCTAGGGGGTAGGTTAGTGGTTCAACCTTTCAAGTCAAATAGGTTAACCCATGATGTATAATTAAAAATAGAATGGTACAAAAAAATATGAAACAATTTTGTGCGCATGTATGATATTATATATTAATAATATAAACAAAAATAAGTATGATAAGCAATAATTATTTTATTAATGGCATTCATGATGTCATAAATAAATAATACAAATTTAGAAATATAAAAAATATAGAAAAAAAATTTGAAAAAAATTGAGCACGTTTCTATTATTATATATTTGTCATATTAAATAATAAATATGATAAAATAGGCATAATTTTATTAATGATGGACATCGAATATACAAATTAAACCATCTTCCTATCTAGGGAGTGGATTAGTGGTTCAAACTTTCAGGTCAAATAGGTTAACCCATGATGTATAATTAAAATTATTTTTTTAAATAGAATAGTACAAAAAAAATGAAACAATTGTGGGCACATCTATAATATTGTATACTAATAATATAAACAAAAATATATATGATAAATAATAATTATTTTATCAATGATATAAATGAAATACAAAATTTAAAACCAACCTTAAAATGAAACCATTCCTATATCTAAATGGTAGGTAGGTCAATGACCTAACATTCTAAGTCAAATGGGTCAATCTATAATGTCATAAATAAGTAATAAATATTAAATACATACATACATATACATATATATATATATATATAAATATATCAAAGAAAAATATAAGCTTTATACATAAAGCATTTTGATACAATTCTATTGTTATATATTCATCATATTAAACAAAATAAATATGAAAATAAGAATTACTTTTATCGATGATGAAAATGGAATACATGATTTAAAATTAATCGAAAAGGCAAAATGGTTTTTCCATCTAAGTGGTGGGTTAGTGATTCAACTATCCATGTCAAATGGATCAACACATGATGTTATTATTAAATAATAAAATACATAAAATTCTAAAAAATATAAAAATTTGTTGATAATTTTGGGTACATTCTATAATATTATATATTCATTATATAAAAAG